ATAGTTATATCCATGAGTCTATGGATGCAGTGTTTTACACTGAATACATTCCTTTCAGCTAGAAACAATTTTTGTCATCTCAGCAATTCAGGAACAACCATATAGGCAGTAATAGAAAATTATTATTATGTTTATTCTGTTTTTCTAAGCACTTTAAGTCTTTATAAAACATCTATGGCTAGAACTATTTTTTTGCCCTATATAATAAAAGACAGTAAAAATAAAATGTGCTCTGCACACCTGCATTTGTGGTTGGAAACTAATAGATTTATACATTTTTAAAGTTATTTGATTTGCTTTTGGGCAATTTGAGAATCCAACCTCACCGTTTCTCGACATACATTATTCTTGATGCTTTATAGCCTTGTGTTTGTATAAAGAGAGTATGCTGTCCTAGAAACACTGCTCAGAATCACACAGCATGTCACAGTTAAGCTTCTATTTCTTACTGAAATTATGCTGGCTGTGAAGTCTCAAACGTGTCAATACATCAACTGAAGGTTTGGATGAATACATAAGCAAAACCAGATACTTCAGAAACCAAAGAGAGAGCTTGCTACAAATTTCAACACCTACTAGCAGATTATTATTCAAGATATAAACAGATGAACTATTTGATACTCAAAAAGATTTTAAAAAAAAAAAACAACAAACCCACTCCTCTCACTTAATTTCAGTGTTCCACACATCTTCAGAATCTCTTTCATTTACCTATGCACTACAAATTTTTAACTAATATATCTCTTCACAGGAGTCTATAAAGGTAAGCTGATGCTGCTACACTGTGATTTTTTGAGACCACTAGATCAGAAGGAAAAGCATTTTGGCCAGACTATATTTACTAAATATCATTGGTATTTATGTATCATAAACGCTTGCTGCTTTTGCTGGAGTACCAAAAGGAAGTGACAAGTCAGCAGATCCCCTCACTGTGACTTGGGAAGGAAGGTCTCCAAGTGCCACTGGCTGGGAAGTGGGTGATGCCTGCGGGCAAACACCCACCCCTGGTCCTCAGGCCAGGGCTCTGCTCTGGGCAAGGATCAGCTCCCGGGGTCTTCTGCAAAGGCACCTAAACACCAGGAGTAGGTACCAGGGGTCAGCTGTAGACTGTGAAGTGAATATTTCCAGTGAATGTTCTGTGAAACACAACAAGACTGTTTGAGAAGGATGATACTCGTTTCATGATTATTGTAGCAGCTTTTCTTTTTTATTTTTGAAAAAAAAAAGATGGACAGGTGCACAACAGATCTAACAAAGACAGCGTCTAAACTTCTGCCCCATCTCGGCAAGCCACAAACACTTGCAGAATTATCTGATTCTAGAAAAGTAAGACGAAAATAATTTTACCTTCCACATTCAGCCTACATAATAGTTTGTCTAGTGAGGCATCTTTTTTTCTTTTTTTCAATAAATTAAAAAGTTGGGCTGGCTGGTCTTGATTGTCAGACTGAAATCTTGATGCTGAAGAGCATGCGCAGAGGCCACCCACTACAGTCCCAGCAGCAGCTGTCTGCTGCAATGGCCCAAAGGAAACATGCCACATCAAAGACCTGGTGGGCAGGTGTCTAATAAAACAACCCCAAAACCCACAGTTCCAAAAAGGAGCAAACTGGGGCAACAATCCTCTGGAAGAGGCAGCTGGTGATCACATTCGATGTGCCACTCCTTCCTCAGCATGCCACAGTACTCATCTGACAGCCCCAACAAAACACTTTTGAGGCAGTACTGACTAGTTCTTCAACGGCTCAATACATCTCAGGGTGAAATTTTGGCATCCCACCGACCTGAACAGAAGTCGTGAACAGAAACAAGAGCAACTCATCAGCACCCATGCACAAAATGAGTGCTCTGGGGAAAAGGGACTAGAGAGCCGCCTCTATCATGCCAAGTCGTCCCTATTTCACTTTAACTCTGTGGAATTAATAACAGTTCCTTTCCGTTTCTCAGAGGTTGAGATTCTTCTCCACAAGTAATTTATAAATCGAAATATGCTTGGAATGTCTGGCTTGAAGCACGTTAGTCGTGTCATAGCACAATTACTCATCTAGCAGCGAGCTTCCAGAACGTGCCGCCTGTCATCTTCCACCACTACCAAAAAAGGGAGCATTCATGAAGCATATCTTCAAACCTTCTCAGTCCTATCCTGCCAGCTAGCATAATGGGGGAACAAATGGCAATTATGTCCAGAAGACAACAAGATGCAAGGCTGCACAACCAACACTATGAAATATTAGGGACATGAGATCATGAACGAAGCCCTGCACTTGATACATAATGCAAGAGCACCCTCTCCCCACCGTCCTTTAACACCTAAAAAACCAGTCTGCCATTCTGGTGAGATAAAAGTTCCCACCTTGCTCTCCACCCTCTTCCACTAGCTTTTGATTACAGGGCTGTCGCCGTCACACAAAACCAAACTTGGCCAAGATTTGGTCAAGCTTTGACTCAACTTGAATAAAGTCACAGTCCTGAACCAACCACACCTGCATCCCCCCAGGTGGCTGGGTTCAAGTACCAACAGTCAGAGTGAACTTTCGTCACCTCTACTAACTCCTAGGAGCTCACATGTTATAGCATTAGAAATCTAGACTGTAGCTAACAAAGTGTGCCACGTGTTGAGTAAAGCACCTGCTGATTGATCTTGAAGTACAGCAGCTATTACAAATTTATTCACATGTAACACTCATGGACATGGGAGGGCTGGGGCACAGAATTGATTCCACCTCTATTCTTCCTTTTCCATCCCTCACTTCCACTTCATTTAATTTATGGACACTTTCAGTTTATACAGTAGAATACAGGAAGGGGACCTAACAAAAAAAGGCAGTATTTATCCATTCAAAAGCCTAGATGAAAAACTGTCAGCTGTCAATTTTACATTTAAAATTTAAGTCAAATCAATATACTGCACACCATCGTACACACTCACTGCTTATCTCCAAAATACAGATGGAAAATACACTGCATTTTCTGCTGTTTGTTCCTCAGGTTCTGCAGGAACAATACGTGACTTGAGGTGTGTACCCACCTTGTGCTCAGTCCCACGCTGAGTCCCACTCCTCAACATAGGAGCCAATGATGCAAACTGTTCACACACCTGACGGCTGCCAACTCAGCCCCTAAAAAGCCTCTGCTTCACGGGCTTTCGGAGCAGTGGCTCTGAACTAATGACAAAGCTGTCTTTTTCAAAGAGGCATTACGTTTAATTTCAAGAATAAATCACAATTAGAAGATACCAAAATTTAAATAATTTCAGTTATTTAAACTGTAACTACAACTTTTCTATCAGAGCTCAGTGAGTTGCAAAAGTTAATTTAATTTTCTTTCCCCTTCAGGATTACTTGGATAATAGTAATTCGGGGAAATTTTTTTTGCTGTCTGAGTGCAAGCAGATAATTACTTCTTTTACTTATGTTACTATGCTTTGCAGCTTTCAAGTAATAACTAACTTGAAAAAGGATTTCAAAATTAAAAACTCAAAAATATAAAGCTAGGGAGAAAACAGGGCATAAAACAAGAAACAAAATACTGTCAGATGAATCATTTTCTTTTTATTCCCTTGTAGCTCCCAGAAATTTTCAGTAACAGATCAAACTAGTTGTTTTAAAAGGCAAAGACAACACGATAAACATAACAGAGTACATGACAGACCTCATTCAGATGTGTCTGAAACACATTTTATAACACAGTGAATACACATTCTCATTGTGCATTTACCTTTGACGATAAAACAAAAGTTAACAAATTAATTTCAAGTAGAATAGAACAGAATTGGAAGTTTTGCATGCCAACAGTTTTGCATGTCATTTCCTCCAGAATATTTGAATGAAAAGTAGTTTTTATCATCTTACCCCTTTTATGTAAGAAGGCCTTCTAAAAGAAGCCAAGTGATCTGTGTATGACCAGCATTTCAATTACATTGGCTTTCACTTTCTTGTTCTGAGAATCATCTGTAGGGCATAGGTCCACTTCAAGCTAAAGGTCAAGGTTTTATTATTTCATTACTTTTAAGGTATGTCAGCACTCCCAGCATCTGACATAGGCTGTATTCCTTCAATTTAAAGCATAATGAATAATTGTAAGCAGAAACAGAACCTCCCACAAATGGAAAAGCTGCACCAGAAGTTTACTTCCATCTACTGCACTCCCTGGACAAATTAAAATTCTGATGTTCTCCACAGCAGCTACCGGAGAAGAATAACATGACAGGAACCGTAATATGAACAAGATATGGAAGTTAGTGGGCACGTGGTTATCTCATATCAGCTATTATAACTGAAGAGGGAATTGCGTGTAGGTTTTGAATCTGTGCTCTACTAAAAAATAACTTTTATAGTCTTTTATTATCAAGCCTCTTTGCCAGGATCCTCTCAAGGGGTTGAAAGGGGAAGAGCTCTTTATTTTCAGTGTAGCACATGACTGGCTTCTAAATAAGATACTCATGTCAGAAAAAAAACAAAAGCATTAGAAAACTTTAAACAATACCTCTCAGCACAAACCATGGCAGGCATTAAATTCCAACTGCAAAACAATTATATTGCTTCCTGAGACTCAAGATTTGTACAAATCACTTCTAATCAGTGTTACAAATATCACTCAGGACACTGCCAGCTTACTTCCCAGAAATTTAAATTCATCGTTAGCTCACTATTTCTGAGAGCAAGGAAAGTCACCTCACGTCTTACTACAGAGCCTCACCTATATTCTTAAAAGAAGTAAATCTATAGTTTTTGCATTCCTATTCAGAGTGAACCCTTCAAAAAAAGGATTGTCAAAACTTCCTTTTTTTTTTTTCCCCGATGAGCAACAAAAGCCATACTCGCAAAATTTTTTACTCTTGAAGCTAGTTCCTATTTGATATATTAGTTCAGATGTAAACGTCTAAAACATGGATTTCAAGTTGTGGTAGATTTAATAATGCAGATTTCATCACCAACCTGTTTCAAAATAGCACTGGAAACCTCAATAAGCAGCACGTTTGTCTGCCAAAAATCACTCGTTTAAAGCATTGTCTCTTGGCACATTCTGACTGGAATGTTATAATGTCTGTCATCTTCAGTTATGAGAGTCACCACAGGCCAGTCCTCCTCTGGGTCGTTGGGATAAAGTGTGATGAATTCATCAGTACTATATTTATACAACCTAAACACTTGGATGGTATACTGCAAAGCATAAGCAAGGAGAAACATTTCCACCTGCATTGGAAAAAAGCAGAAATATTTAAACATATCTTTTACAAGATATTTCTCATAAAAATAATAAACTAATACCTATCACAATTTTTCAAAGGAAAAATATGAAGAAAAGTAAATGAGAATGCATATACATGAGCATTTCTAGTTCTGCATCTCAACCATTCCAGCCATTCTTAACTTGCTGCACAAATACCTCTAAGATACCGTGTCTTTAACACAGAGTGCTTCAGATCCAACAACGGCATAGTAAGATATGAGTCCTAAAAAAAAAGCTACTTTATACAGAGAATCCCACTTCCCTATTGCCGCAAACAGGTAGGAAAGACATTCTCTTGTATCAGCATTCATCTCATTAAGTCACTAAACCAGACAAAAATGAGTTTCAGGCACCAATCCTTTCTCTCTTAGAGGGTACTCTGAACTCTCTAGCCAAATAAAAAGCAGATGGAAAGCCTTTACAAAGCCTGTTGATACAAGAAGGAATTCAGAGAAAGAAGTGGGAAAGTCTTCTATCTCTTCTACTACACTGGCAAGCATATCCTGTTCTAAATAACAATTTACAAAGAATATCACCGAAATAAACAAATCTGGTCAGCACAAAAATATGCAGCATTACTTACTGACTAAACTAGGCAGCAAAAAAAGTCACCAAGTAATCAGTTAATTTAACAGTACCAGCAACCTGTCTCATCTATACTAGAGTCATCAGATATTTAAGCTAATAAACACAAACAAAACATAATACTTCCATGTTTCTAGTGTCTGTAATCAAGTAGTGAATTTAACTGCAGTATCACACTCGTAACATATTCAAGGGGATTTTTCTAAATGGATGTTCAAAAAATCTTTCAGACTATTCAGCTCATTAACCACTACATTTTGTTTTGGGGCTTTTTTTTGTGATCTGCACATCATTTCTGCAACATGTAAGGCAGGAACTGCCATTAGTTTATCAGAATTCAACCAGTGTATGTACTACATGATCTACTAGACATGATCTTCTCTTCATGAGTATCAGCTTTTTTAAAAATATCATAATAAAAGCTAACAATTAAGAGACTAATACAAATGTTTCTATTAATAGAATACCATGCTTCCAAAAGAACAATGCTACCGAAGTGTCAGATGCCACACAAAAATCCAAGTTCCTTCCTTTTAGGAAGGCTTTTACAGGCATGTAGTTCTACTATATTTTTCCCATCGAGAGACCAGATAAAAGCCGGATGATTTCTTAAACCACTGGAAATAAAAACTTCCAAAAGAGGAAAATAGCACCATAAAAACAATCTCTCCTCGGCATGTAGTTCTACTATATTTTTCCCATCGAAAGACCAGATAAAAGCCAGATGATTTCTTAAACCACTGGAAAAAAAAATTCCAAAAGAGGAAAAGAGCACCATAAAAACAATCTCTCCTTACCTGTTCAAGGCCTCCACTGTGACCAATATGATTCAAGTGATTATGCATTAACTGACAAGGGTTGCTAGATGTATCCCGTGCAAACAGTAACCATGAGAAGACAGGAACTCTCCTTCCATTTTTATCATCATTGTATAATTCGATGGCAGTATTAAGCATCAAAAATTTCAGTGCTTCATAGAGACTATATTCCTCCTCTTCATTTTTAAACAATTTATCACAAGCTTCCTGTTTCTCAATAGGGCCCTTGATTTCACTTATATTCTTCCACTATAAAAAAAAACCCAAAACACATACAACGTATCAATAGCCATCATCATGCAAAACCTGCAAAAAGCCACTTGTGAATTGTCGGATGCACAGCACAGGCACTCAGAATTTCATTTCTGAAGGGCTTTGTGTCTTTTTAAAAACACTTGAGAATATGTTCACAGTTGTAGTCCTATCAAGGCTGAGTTAGTCTGATTTTGCTTAAATGAGTCCTTAAAGCAAAAGAAGGGGATGTTGGAAATCGTTGCAAGGTGGCAAACCAAATATTGTCATGGGGCAATAAGCAGTAAGATAATAACCTGTTTGTTTCCCGTGTCATAAATCCTACACCCATCATATTCTTTACATCTCAGTTATTCAGAACGTGTATTTCATTCCCACCCTCAGAAACCGCTTGAATGCAGCCTTTAAAATATTCTTAAAAGCCTTCAAAAAAAGAGAATATGTATACACAGTAAGACAGGAACAACTGAAGAGTTTTTAAACTGGTTCCAGAGTTTCAAGGAGGGGAAAGACGAGACTAGGTAACATACTATGAACACCGAAAGGGCACAACCATTTTCCTGTTACACTAAACTAGAATAAAAACCTATAAACACGGAACAAAAACTACTCCTTTGAAATTACTTCAGCATTATTCTGTTGGGTGTTTTTCTTTCCCATAACCTGTTCAAGCAAGCAACAGTATTTCTCTGTAGTATACATCATTCCTTCAAACAAATGCATGAAATAACTGCGGTAAAATGCTACTCTATTACGTTAATTTCTTCACTGAACTCTATAATAGTTTTCTGCAGAGCTTACAAATTAGTTCCAGCATCAGGCTAATGCAAGCAGTGGAAGACCAGAAAATTCCCACAGATATGAACATTCTTTTCTTGGTTTTTTTTTTATTTTTATTTTTTTTCCCAGTATGCATATAGAAAAGTTACTTTTTTCACTAGTGAAAGCATCCTTATGCTAAATTCACCACATTCAAAAATCTTTGTCATTTTTCTTATTTTCAAGTGAACAAGAATATATGAATACTTTTCTAACCTTTTTCCTTAGAAGTATTAAATATTCCTTAATTTCATCACTTATGTCTCCCATCTTCCTGCCTAGTTTCTGTTTTAGCTGCCACTGCTTGATCCAGTCATATTTGCTCAGCAAGTTTTCAGGAAGCTGGAAGTTGAGAGAAGAGAAGGTTGCTTAAGTCAAAAATCTTGAAAGGAAAAGCCACCAACTTGTACATTATTATTTTATTGATATATTTTAAAAAAAAAAAAAGATTTTGCACCTTAAAACAATCCCTTGTACATTCTTATGAACGACCATAACTGAACACAACTGGCTCTTTATAATATTTGCTGGAAAACAGTCAAAATACTGGTCTATTGCTATTGCCAGATCTAATCAATACATAAGCACTGGAAAAATTAATCACTAAGTTATTCATGGCTTTTCTTTTTTTAAATAAAAATAAAAAACCAAAACCCTTCAGTACCAGATGACAGTGACTGTTTGAAAGTGCCCCTGAATCAACAGAAGAGAAGGTTAAAGATGTGATGACATCCACCAGACAATCCAGAAGTCCTGGTAGAGTGCAAACTACTGAGCCCAGAAGACACAAACTGTGTTTTCTTTTCAGGGTACATAATTAAAACTCTATGGGACTGATTTTCTGTTAAAGAAGAAAACAACCGGGGGATTAGTTGATTAATCAAATCACACTTTAGCTTCAGAACTGCCTGTTTTACTGCTCACATGCTACACCTCCTCGGTTAAGAACTTTTATACCTCTCTTGAAGCACATCCTGGCAGTTGCATGCCCAGTTTTTTACCCTCATTTATTAAACCATTTTACCACTAGAACTGGAAGAGCAACTTGTGTCTCACAATGAATTAAATATTTGGCTAGAGCAGCACATATGCCACCAGCCATTACCAGCCGGTTTTCATTTCCAATTTTCCAAATTAGTAGTATGTTCTCTTTAACAGCAATCAAGTATTCATCAGATATACACAGACCTTCCTCCAACCCAGCCTGGCATCCTACACTACTTGGACATATAGAAGTAAATAATCAAAGATTATATGACAGTAACTTCTACAGCTAGAAAGTGCATGTAAACATCATTTTACATTAAAACAAACAAAAAAACAACTTTTGTAAAGTTGTACTGCTGGCTGTCACCACATACATTTCTCTCATATGCCTTCTGCTTTGATGCATCAACAGTTTATCATTTCAAACAGTTCATTTTATAGTTCATATTTTTTTGAGAAAGGTGTACATTAGCATATGACACATTTTCCTCTATAAATCAGTAGGAAGAAAAATAGGTGAACATCATTGAAAACTGCAAAGTACACTATTTTAAAAAGTCTGCACATTCTTTAAAGGAGCACTGGGAAACTATCTT